GTATTTAACTCAGATTTTGCTACAATAGGCTCCATTCTTAACTATGGGTCGTCCTTAAACCAGACATTCTTAACCCGGGACTACCTGTAAAATCATTCTGCGTGTGGGAAGAATTTTGAATCCTAGCAATAAATAAATGAACATGGGAAAAAAGGGGGCTTTGGAGGACAGATGCTGGTGGTAGGCGCAACGCTTGTCTGCAATTCTTTAAAACAGAGGTGCAAGGCCAGGAAATGGCACACTTGTAAGGAGTTGCAGAGAAGTGTGAGATCTATTGCCCAGCCCTAAACAAGACCACTTTATGCTGGTGCAGCTCAGGATGTGTGAAGCCTGTCTCTCTCCTGGGCTGCAGATCAGAAGAAGGCAAGGTCATGGGCACGGGCACATGGACAAAAAAAGAGCCTGCCAAGGACATGGCGAGGCCATCTGAGGTGCAGATGGGGAAAGGCGATGTGAAACTTTGGTGGGAATCACTTTTGTGACCTCTAGTGGCTGCTGGAGAGATGGTGTTAGGATCTTCAGCAGGCTGAGTTCTTCAGAAGCAGGTTCTAGAGATCTTCGTGAGTTTTCCCTTTATGTTCACTGGCGTGTTTGTAAATAAGGGAGGGGCTGAATAAGACAGACAAGTAAAGAAAACACAGCTATGGTGGTCGTAAGGAACAATGTACAAATGCATCTTAAGGAACTATATTTATTCTGCCAAAGCAAAGTCACAAAAGAGCAACTTTTCGGTTTTCGAGAAGTCTTCATCGCCTCTCAGGGTTCATGCAATACCCCTGACCAGGACATGCAAAGGATTGGCTAGTCTTAGCCATAGTTGGTTTGCTCGGCCCAGCACGTTGTAGGAAAGCAGACTGTTTGGTTACTGTGTGGTTCAAAGTAATGGGTGAATTCACAAAATGGGTTAACTCAGTCACCAGGCTGACTATATTTGTACCCACAACCAGGGTGAAGCTCCAGGATATTCTGACAGAAGAACAAAGCCTTCCAACCATGTTTCTTTAATAATAACAATAATAATAACAATAACAACAATAATAAAAACATTCTGGAGGGCCATTCCTGGAAACTCTGGGGGAGAAATGGGGAGTCGTTATTAAGCCTGCCAAACACATTATGATTAGATTTTTTTATCCCTGCATTTTTTTATAACTCAAGGCAGTGAAGATACCTAATACTGCTGCCTCCTATTTTGCTCACAACAACCTTGTTGAAACTAGCTGAAAAAATTTTAAAAATCCCACATTCAGAATGCCTGTATGTGTTTGTGTAATATGCATGTGTGTGTATTCATGTGTATATGTATGTATATGTGTGTGTGTGTACATACACACACACCATTTAAAAATGATGCCACAACATTAGACCTCTGTGTGCAGGCAGCTGATACCCACCTGGTTTGGCTTTTGTGCTATTGGGTGTATTCACACAAGAGTATTAACCTGGTTCCTGAGTTAACCCATTTTCTAGACTTGCATTAAAAATGGAAGGCTCAGAACTAGCTTAGTGGGCTAGGTTCACACCTCTGGCCGCAACAAAACTTGTTAAAAGTAATTGATCTCGGCCTGTTGTGAAAACGCAGCCAGAAGATTTGTAATTAACCCGGTTATCTGTTGTGTGAATGCAGTCCTACCTCCTATATGGGGAGATTTCCCAGGGAGATTGCAGTCCCAGCCAGTAGGTGGCAGCAGAGGCTGTGGAATCCCCAGGAGTTGGGCAGATGTTTCTCCCCAAAGCAAAGATAGATGAGAATTACGTTGTTCTATAAATACAGTAAAGGAGTTTGTAATCTGTGTGAGGATCTGCTGGAGTGCCTGCAAGTATTTCCAGCAATTAATTCAGGCATCAGTACATTAATTGAGCATTAGAGTTGGGCGGCTAATAAATTAAAAAAATAATTAAATTAAATTAAACATTTTCTGTCTGGATGAGGTCTAACTCTTCCGTTCGGCTAAAGAAGGACAACCCGTGAGCCATAGGAAGCCCCTAGAAAGGGGAGTCCCAACTGTGCGATCGAAGCCCCCCCCCTTTTTATGTGCATCATGACACCCCTCTTCTGCGTGAAACTGGGGGAGAAGCTTGTCCTGTCCTTCACACAGTCAAGTACCTTGGACTGGATAATTTCAGAGGGCAAAGAGAAAATAAACATGTTTTGTGCTAGAGGCACCTTCCGCACCATGGCTGTCATCCAGTTCTGGGTGTTGCGGGGGAGAGGTGGGACACATGAAATGCCCTGTAGTTTCCCCGCCGCCCCAGTCACGCTCTGGGCATCCGCCTCCCCCAAAAAAGCTGCTTAGTCCTTCACCTGGATGAAAATAGTCACTCAACGGAGTGCTGTTTTTTTTTTTTTTTTAATTGAGCTCAGATTTTGAGTCCCAGAAAGATTTTGAGTCCTGGTTTGTTTAATCCTGGTTCACTGAGTAAACCACCATTATCTAGGTTCACACCTTTCTTTCTTGTTCACTCTGGATGTTGGAAAGAAATTGGGTAAATGGCCTGGGGTCTATGTCTCTGTTCATCAGCATGACTCTCCAAAACCTAAACAGAACAGAACCAGATTTGGGAGAGAAACAGGCCAGAGAAAGATCAGGTTCAAAAATGGGTCAGAGCAGGTTGGGGGCTGCCAAAAAAAAAATCCTGCACAATTCCCCCATTGCTTCCCTATGGAAGAGGGCGTGGGGCAGCGGCTCACCGTGCTGCGGACACCTCCATTGTAAGCCCCTGCGTCTTCCTTCCCAGCCATGTGACCCAGAGCAAAGCTATTAAGAATTCCAGATGCCATGCTCCATATGTGAGAGATAAGGAAGTAGGGTTAAGTGTTACGGTTATCAAATAGTGGCAGATGGAGAAGAAGTTGTCTCCTTGTGTGAGACAATGTAAATAAAAATTAATTTGGGGCAATCTTTATCAGTATATTACAATTAGCTGAAACCTTGAGCAATTACCATAAACATGCAATGGATGAGGTGGGAGGGACCAGGAAGAAATCACAGAGCGGCTGGAAAGACTGTACACCCAGAGTACCTTAGCCAATGGGGAAAAGGGGAGGGACTTGCGATCGGGAATGTATATAATTATGTAAAATACAATACAATACAACACAAGACAAGACAACTTTGGGACAGCCTAGAGTACCTTAGCCAATGGGGAAAAGGGGAGGGACTTGCGATCGGGAATGTATATAATTATGCTGGAGGTTGTATTTGGGTGTGGCTTCCGGCTTGCACCCTGTGAAGCTCACCAGCCTTTGCAAACGCTTCTTAATCTTTTTACTTTTGGTTAACCCAGAGATTTGTGTCGCTTGTTTCGCACACATAGGCTGTCCCAAAGTTGTCTTGTCTTGGGTTGTATTGTATTGTATTTTACTTATTTTATTTTTTCTATTTATAATAACATATCGATGTTTATCATGCCAGAGACCAGAGACATGTACTTATTTTAGGGTTTGCACTATCATTCCCCTCTGGGGAGAGAAATCCTAAAGCAAAATTCCTCCTTTCTCACAGCAACAGGAGGTAACAAAAGACTCGCTTTAGTTCTTTGGGCTGTTGGGAAACAGTTTCCTTTCTGAGAGCCAAACACTTGATCTCCTTTCTTGCTCAACATTTGGTTCCAGTATTTTCCTGCTTAAAATGTATTTTTTCTCCACTGTTGCCTTGGGCAACCTCCCCTTTTCCTGGAGAAACCACCCCACTTTTGACCCCCTTCGTGACATCATGTAGTAGTGGAGAAACTTAGGGGGCTTTGCCAAATGCAGGTTTTGTTCACCGGTCCTATGACGTGGTCAGGACCGCTGTGATCATTCTTCAACTTTGCACCATGTGCTTGGTGTGGTTATGAAAGTCACCTACTGGGGTTTTGCAGAATCCTACGGCTAAACTGGGCTAAAGCAGGCTGGGGTGTTCTTGTGCAGCAAGACACAGCCCCTGTCTTCACATGTTTGATGAATGTGACGCCATCATGTGCTTTGGGCATGGCGAGTTGTGTGAACACCTTGATTAAACTGCAATTTTGAGAATTGGGGGGGAAGGAGGAGAGACTGAAAAACCATCTATAGCTGCTTTCCATCAAGAGACATATCCGGAAGGTGGAAAGCATTAAACCAAGTTGCCAAACAATGTGGATTTGTGTAAAAAGGGAACAAGGTTGCCAAAGTTTTAGCCAGATGTTGGGGTCTTCAGCAGCTTCAATGCAGGGGCTACTACTGACACATAATCATTTCTCCTGGTCATAAAAAAAGTTTCTCCTGCTATTTCCTATAGATTCTGCTGCTGTTAAAACAAACCAGGATGAAGACAATGGCAGCTAGAGAGGCCTTTCTGCATTTTTTTGAGGTGCAGAGTAGCCACGCTATAGTGGGAAGGTGGCTATGGCTGTGCCAAAACATGATTACACCATAGGTTAATGTAAGGGCTTTGCTAAGTTTTTTCTCTTTTTTTTAATGGGGAAAACAGAGAAAAAAGTCAATATTGACTAAGCAACTTGAGCTACACTAAACAAAAAATCTGGGAAATTCCCTGAATGGGTTTGGGGAAAAAGGAGTCCCAGAACAAGGTATGAAAAGAGGGAACCCCAAAATACCAACAGGATCCTCTTCTGTCATAGATGCGGGACGAGTTACCAATTTTGAGGGTCTGGTCTAGATTGGTGCCCAACCCGAAGTCATTCAGAAAGGCTCACCAGCCAGTGGGTCATGTGACAAACCCCAAACCCTGGTTCCTTTGACCCATGGATCATGTGAATGGAGCCAAGCCAAGCTCTCCCAGGCAATTCTGGCCAGGCCATGCTCAAATTTTGGCCGGCAGCCCCCTGCTGCCCAGGACAGGGGGATCAAAGCCAAAGTCTCACAGAGCTGCTAGCAAAGAGTTGGGAAATGGGTTTTCTTTCCAAGAACATGGAGTTCTCTATCTGTTACCCAACCCTTGATTCCAGTATTCTCCTATCTCTCTTTCCCGCATTTAGCATTTGGCAGGACTTACCTGGAAACGGCCACCCCTGAAAAGAGTGTATATAAGGCTAAAAAGCACATTTTTGAGCCCAAAACAAAGCTCATCTGTCTCGGTGCCTCCTGTCTTCAGCACCTTCTATCCCACCATGCGCTGGATCGGTCTACTCCTGGCAGGTGAGAAGGGCAGGGGAGGAGAGAAAGCCACAGCACAACTGAGCATGCAGAAGATTCAAAGGGTCTGGAACAGCAACCCCTCAAATTATATCTTGGGTGGGAATTCTGGGGCTCTAGACGTATCACAGCGGGGAGGCAGGTTGGGGAAGCCTATTTTGAAGGATGTGGAGTGGAGGACTTGAGGCCATGGCTCACTTTCCATCCATGCCCCATGGCACCATGCCAATTTCTCTCACGCTCTTGCATGTTGCTCAGTTGCTCTTCATTGTGCTCAGAAGCTGACTGAGAAATGGGAGTAGAATGCAGGACACAGAGTGATGGTGAACACTCAGTGAACTCTGGAACGTCATCCTAAAAGCTGCTCCTCTCCTCTGGTGACTCAAGGGCCATGGGGCAGATCTGTCAGAGACACTCATTCAGTCCTGCATCTTGCTTAGCATGGGGTGAGGTAAGGGTGGGAGGTGGGTGAACAAAGCTTTCCCAGTGTTGCATTTGGGTATCGAATGAAACTACCTGTTGAAACATTGCTAGTCAAGACACTGACTGAGTCACAGGAGCAATGCTTGGAAAAAGTTGGTAGCTCCATAGGATTGTCTCCTTGTCTCTCTCTCTCCTTCCTTCCTTCCTTCCTTCCTTCCTTCCTTCCTTCCTTCCTTCCTTCCCGGGAGGCCAAAGGGGGCCCTGGGATGTGCATGTCAGAATAGTATATATCTAAAGCAATCTTCCCCAACTATACCTCCCATCATCCCTGCAGTCAGGAAGTAATAGCAAATCTTTTAACTGATTTCTGCTGCTTTTCCTCTAATAATGATTGAACTTTCCAATGTTTGTGGAAGGTTGTGATAAGTTTGTTTTTTTTAAAAAGCCCAATTAAGCTGCTGCTAAGAGCAGAAGAGCAGCCCAAATCATTTTCCTCCCAATCAGTTGGCAACCTCAAGTAAAGTGTGCTGTGAAACTGCATTCATCTTATGATGCTTAGAATGCAAATACTTCTGCTCTGGAAAAGACCCACATGCTCTGTGGATTCAGAAGGGTGAACAAATGTTGACGTTCTGCTCATCTCTTCATTAAGCTCCAGGCTAGATTAGAGTTAATGAAGACTTCTGGTACGCTCAGAAACTTGCACTTCTTGTTAATTTGTTTGGTCCTAATAAAGTTATAATCCGGCTAGAAGTTTGGGTGGATAGTGGTTTTTTCCCACCAAGGACCAAGATGGCTATGATGGTAATTGATTGTGTATGGAGTGTTTTGTTGAGTGATAGAAGCAGTGTTAGACTCTTCATGTTTACTTACTTTCCAGTTCTGGCTTTAGCCTCCAGCTTCCAAACATCTGAAACCATCCGCATTGTCCAACTCCCACCTAACCCTCGTGTTGGGCAAACGGTCATCCTAAATTTGGAAGATGTCCAATTTCCTACCATGTGCTTCTGGTTCCGAGGCAATAATCAGAGCAAGGATAGACAGATCTTGCGCGTTGAATTTGATGCAGTCACTCTAAGAGGGCCAGCCTACACAGGACGGGAAGATGTACGGAGAGGATGTTCCTTAATGATCCGAAATGTGCAGGCCTCCGATTCTGGGCCATACACCGTCTCCTTGATGGAATTGCGGGGAGACGCATTTGAAAGTGCAGTGGGACGCCTGCAAGTTTCCAGTAAGTGCTCAAGGATGGTGGCTGTGAAGATATGGGAGAAAAATTCAATTGGGGTGGGTGGGTAGGGGGTGGAACTAAGGGCCAATTGACAGGTGAAAGGGAAGAACTCCAGCATCAGGGACAGGATATGCCTGAAGTTTCAGGTCCAAACCTCTCTTTCCCTTTTCAAAGAATCATTGGTCCCTAATATAAGGATGTGTATGGGTATAGATTTTTACCTTGTCAAATTTCTTTGAAGGATTCCCTCTGCCCCTTTTAGTGAGGTTTTAGCCTTTCTTAGATGATACAATATCACTCTACTTGCAATGCACAGACTTCCCCAGTCTAGAAGTATCCATTGGAGAATAATTTCCAATATCCCCAAGCTATCTTGGGATCAGAGACACCTGCTAGGCATGTGTGTGTGTGTGTGTGTCAAAAAAGGCGAGATGGTGGCTGGGACTGTGGAGTATCCCATGTTCAGAAAGGTTTCAAGGTACTACTCAAACAATTGTAAAAACCCAGGGAGGCTGGACAATTCAAATTTTGCAAGCACATCCCAAAGAGCTATTTAAATTACTAAGTAAAAACGATTTACATTTTAAAATTATTATTAGAAGTTGGAAGGAAGGAAGGAAGGAAGGAAGGAAGGAAGGAAGGAAGGAAGGAAGGAAGGAAGGAAGGAAGGAAGGGCTAGAATCTATGAATCTATACCAAAAGGGAAATCTAAAGAAATAATAATATGAATATTGTCATTTACTTTGCAGACTAAAGATGTTTTGAAGAAACGTCTGTCCAGTTTTGCATTTTTATTTTTGGAATGGAAACAAAGCTGCAATTCATCTGCCATGGGGGAATCCAAAGAAGGAACAGCTATTCGGTTTCTCTGTGTTCCCTTCATCACTCCTTGCCTTCACACACTTACCTATAACAGCTGACCATTAAAATTTCTTTTGGCCAAACAGACATGTCCCCTATAAACAGCTTTGTCTGAAACAGCTCTCCTCTGAATTTTGCATTTTGTTGCAAAGCGGTTCTCAGAAACATAATCAAAATTCACTGGTAGGTTTCTGAAATAGAAGTGTGTGTTTTGTGAGATGCATTCCCCTCCCCCCCCTGGCTCCTTCTTCATCTTCACACCGCCCCTGTTACCTCCACCCCCCCACTCCAATCAAGCCACCAAGGTAGCTAGCATC